TCGATGAGACAGACCTAATGATATGAAAGTAAGTCTAATCTGAGTCAAATCAAGCCTAAATCAAATCATTAAACCAATATTGGAGGATTTCCGGAGGCATTTGAAAGGTCAAACAGATGTCAACTAGGGAGTTCATTGTCGAATCGAGCGTCTCGACGAGACGAATCCAACGAGCCCAAGACTGCTCAATACCGACATCGTTAAGGCACTCAAATGTCCAAATATCATCTGATCAAAGGAAGCTCTCCGAACCGTCCGATCAAAATGATTCATATTCCTGCATTAATTGCACTCAAAACACTATAAAATAGAGTCTCACCCCTCACATGAAAGGGAGGAGGCATAAGAGAGAACTTGAAGCTTTGAGAAGGAGCTCAAGTCCAAGATCATCCTCGTCATCGTTGATTATTGTCGACCATCACCCACCACTGACCGTCGACAACCCCCGCTGACCTCCGTCGACCGCCGCAGACTGTTATCGACCGTCGTCAGCCACCGCTGACCTCCGTCCACCACCGTCGATCGTCATCGATTATCGTCAACTACCGTCGATTACCGCCGACCTCCGTCCACCACCTCTAACTAGACGTCGTCAGTGACGTTGTAATTTGATAATTTGAAAAGCCAATACCTCTTTCCCGCCTATGGGACAAGGGACATCTGTAATCCTCAACTTCTAGTGAATTTTTACAACTGGGTCAAACCCCATGGCTTTTCCTCTTTACGGGCTTTCCACGTAAAAACTCCTGGAGTCATCACAATTTGATTCATTTTCATCTGAGTGTGTATTGAATCCTCGCGCAACGCTAAGACGATAATCCATTACTCTACCGCCACAAATTTTCTAGCATGCATCAACTTGCAATGCTCCTAAACCTCATTTTTCACATATTATGCCACCTTTCACTTCTTTAAAATTCAAATAGAAATATTTTTGATATCCAAATAGATAAGAATTGGGTGCCATTTATGTCAATGGCCCAATGTAGGATTGCAGAAAGAGAATCCACTTTCGTCTTTCGAGCCAAAAACATTCCATCCCTCATTGCAAAGGTAAGGAATAAAATAAAATAAAATAAAATAATAATTCAAAAAAAATCTTGCAAGCAATTCTATGACTTTTAAAAAGGAGAATCCACTTTCTCGCAAATGATACTTTTCTTCTCATAGAGCTTGGCTTCTTGAATTCAATCTTTAGTATTCCCCTTCAGCCAAATGTATATATATATATATATATAGGAAATGGAATTTAGAACTTTCAATATATTGTATAATCTGCAAGTGAAAATTAGAAAAAAAAAAAAAAAAATCAAGCTACAATACATAGCTTTAAACAAAACAATTTAATAATTACAAAAAGCAAACTTGAAACCAAACCCAACAATAGATATGTTCAATTCAAAATCAATTATCTAATTAATTTTAATTTATTTTTCATAGACGAGTCATTCATCATCATGACCCTTGAAATTCATCCTACTCCTAACCCTTTCACCTCTACTCCTCCTCCATCGTCCCCTCCGTCGAATCTTCGCATCACCAGACTTCCAAAACCTGTTCTTTTCCGACTCCACAACATCGCAGTCCGGAAAAACCTTGGGATATCTGAGCTCATCGTAACAAAAACTATACGTCATAAAACGTTGCCGGAATTCCCGCATAGCCGCGCGTTTCACCGCGGTCATCACCGCATAATCTGAAACTGCCGTCGTGTCCTCCGCCGCACGACACTGCTCCGCCGCCGGCGGCAACTGTCGGATGGGGTCAAGCCGGCAACCCTGGAGGATAAAATTGGAGAAATCACTAACAAAAGGGGAGTATTTGTAGTCGACTCTGTATTTCCCCCCTGAAGTCGCCCAATCAGAGGCATCCCATATGGTGGCGTAGAGAGACATCGGCTTTGAGGGGAAGTCGCCGCCCATTGCTTCTGTTCTCGCCACCTCACGTATAGGAATCTCATCAATGTAAAATCTGTAAATAAATATTTTTTAATTGTTAATTTATTATTTTTATTGGGTGGGATAATATAATAAGTTAATAACTATGGAGTCTACGTCGAAGCTGACCAATACTGCATGGCTTCACCATGCAAATATTTTCAGTTAAGATTATAGGTCAATTTACAGAGTGTGCATCAATAATCATCAATAATCAAGAGTTAATAAAAGTTTTCAAATACAAGTTAATTTCAGCTTCGGTTTCCATTTGAAATTTGAATTTCAACCGTTATTTTTTGAAATCGGTTCTTAGCATTCTTACAACCAATAAATACTATAACAAAAATAAATTCATAGTAATATGATTTCAGTGCTGCTGATTATGTATGTTTTTTTTCATCAAATAGAAGGAAATAAACTTAAAATAAAAATTTTTTTAAAAAAAATCAGAGGACATGAATCTGACTTACATGATGGTGGTGTTGGTCCAGAGAACAGAGTAATGGTGAGCTTCTGCAGTGGGATCAAAAGGAAGCAGATACCTTTCCTCACGGCCGCGATTTGTACTCCCATTACCATACACATTGGTCTGAATCCGCCATTGTTTCCCCTTCACATTGCCAAGAAACTCGAAGTCCAGCTCGTCATGATTCTTCTCGAATATATCGCCATTCGACATCTGCATCAACATTAGAACACAAATACTAACGATTTCCGATTTCTCAAACCGAAACGAATCGATAAACGACGCCGCTACTAACGTAGAACGCAACGACGACGCCGGCCGTGTAATCTGACGGCAGTTTGATCGACGCCCCGAACAATCCGTGGTAATAGAGAGAAGACGATATGAACCCCGATCCTGAAACGGAAATGATAATAAAAAACTCTGTAAATAAAGCGAGGATTGAAAATCGCTTACCGGAATACTGGTTGAGATGAATCTTGACCGTGCGGCCATCGGGGGATCGCACGATGTTGCGTTCGCCGAAGAGCGGCGTATAGCCTTCGTCGAATGAAATCGGGGTTATATTTAACGCAGTCGTTGATGCGATGGTGAAGATCGCCGCCACCAAAATCGCCGCCGTGATCGTCGCCGGCATGGTGAGATTTTCGTGTGTTCTGTTTCTGCGGGTGGGGGGTTTATATAAATTGGGGGAGAAGGATGACTTGGAAGGGATTTAAGACACAAATATGCTATGAATGTAAATATGTAAGTTTAGATATGTAAATGTATAAATTTTATAAGCTATGTGCATAAATTTATATAAAAATATAAGAAATAAATTTATAATTACATTTACGATAACGACCCCCAAATACTTCTGAATGCTTCCCGGCGATGGCGATATTGCAATTATTATTTCGTTCGCTAATGCAGGCGTCTTCTTCATCTATATCTATTTCGGACTTCTAAGCGTACAGTACAGCAGTTTCCCGGTTGGCAGTGGGGTCCACTTACCGGAATGGATATGGATGGATGGCCCAACCTTTCTTGTAATACGGACGGTCCAGATGCGTTCAGTTGATCAGGGGTCGCATTTCTTCTCCGACGGCGACTCCGACGGGGACATACGGCGGTCCCCATCGCCGGATACGAGAAAAAAGTTTACTTCTTGTGGTCCCCACTGAAGCCGGATCGTTTTCACTCAAAAAAAAAATACGCGAGTATTTAGAACTTCATGCATAATTTAAGAATATCACACCTAAATTTAGATATTTAGGTATAAAATACTTGAAACTCATAAATATACACAAAAACAATATTATGTTACCCTTTGTAAACATTTACTTTTAATTAATCGTGTTAGCATACTTCACTGATAGATTTCATAATGTACGCCTCGCCGGCACAGTCACATAGCATCAGATCCGTCTCCTTTCAAACCCCTTGAACTGATCCTCGTGATTCTGCCATCAAATACCGGCATTCCCAACTGATTATCCAACAAAACTTTATAATTGATCTCATTGGAGAGAGAGAGAACTCAAATGACATTGATGATATCACGGTGGTCATGATTGTCGTCATTGAAAATTTATGTTGTATCCCAAGAGATTGTAAGATCGTGATTTTTTAGAGTGAATGTGTCATGACCTGACATGATATAACCCATATACAGTAATAGATTCCATTAGTATGCTCCAGGTACATGTCATTTTGATTTGTTTGCCAGAACAAATGAGTAAAGCGTCTGCGGAAACCTTCACAAGCAATCATCATTTTTTTTTTCGGTTTTCTGCTTATCATGGTAGGTCTTTCCACACCTCCAAATATCTGACGCCGAATCTACGCCTCTTTCCTTCTTTCTTTCATAATAAAGTTGGTTATCTCTGTGGCATTTTTCTTCATAGTCTCTAATGTTATGTTCCTTCCTGTTTTTTTTTTTTTTTTGCTTCTTCTGATTCTTATTTGGCACTTATGGTAGATATCATAGGTATTTGGCCCCAAAAGGGATTGGGGTTTTAGATCATCGGGAATTCCCTTTTCTTAATACTCTTATTCTCCCTTCATCTGAAGCTGTAATAACTTGGGTTAATCAAGCTATACTCGCAAGGAAGAAACGTCTAGTGAAGCATTAGCTAGAATTACTCTTGTTAGTCCTCCAATTGTCGATAGATCACGAAGCAAAAAGCATTGGTGTAGTAATTCGTAGCAATTTGCCGTATAGTGTAGCTAGCCATGAGAAGATTTTCATTCCCGTTGGTACATCAATAATAATTGTAGTAGCTATGAAGTAAGCCCGTGTATCTACATCTAGACCTACTGCTTCTTAATTTTTGGATTTAGGGTTAGCGAAGTCTGTGCAATCCATTAAAAGAATATCAAGTGCAACCTAGTCAAACCCTCAAAGGTTTAAACACAATCAACACTAAGGCCCAAGTAGGGTTGTAAATGAACTAATCCACTCGATAAACAACTCGAACTTGACTCGATTAAGACTCGATTATGTTCGTTCAAATTAGTAAATAAACAAGCTGGAATAATTTATAAAAGCTTAAAGCTTAAATGGACTGAACATGAACATAGTAAAACTTGTTCATTTATGTTCACGAATTAATTCATTTGTTGTTCAATAAGTAACTTGTTAATACTTTATATTAAGCTCGATGATGACCCTGTACCATATATGATATGTTATTTAAATAAAATTGAATTAACTATAATTTATTTAATTTTACATTTAATAGAAATATATTATTATATTAATAATATTTTTAAATTAATTATTAATTATTTATTTTATTAAATTTTAAGTGTTAGATGTGAAATTGCATAAGATTTATGTGTAATCTATTAAATGCCCATTAAAATTAACTTTAAACCCCCACATACCTGGCTTTTCCTTTTGCCTCTCGTAGTTTTGTTACTCTCGGTTTCGCTCGAGACATACGAAACTCTGAGTTCTTCTCTAAAATAGATGTGTAAAAGCATCAGGAGCGAGGACATGTTTGTAATTATTTGTGAGTTTTATCTATAAATAGATGTGTAACCTTATGAGTATGTAACTCCTCTGTAATAGTGAATTCACCGCTCTGCTCCCGAGGATGTAGGCATCATTGCCGAACCTCATTAAATCTCTGTGTTTTTCTTCTGGATTTATGTTGTTTTCGCCCTAAGTTTCATAACAGCTAGGGCGTGCGGGTAACAGAGGCAACAAGAAGATTGAGACATGTAAGGATCTTTGAAGCTCTAGTCTCTTGTATAGTCTCTTCTCCATTCTGCTTCTATGTCCTTCCAAATTAACTCTCATATTTCTCATCTTTCCTCGCTTCCTACTTCAACTTCTTTGAATTCCAAGGTTTTGAAAATCATACCGTACATTGAATCAAAAAAGGAAGAGGTTCAAGATTCAACAATTAAACCGGGGTTGAAGCAGACGTTGAATTGGGTGACCTGATAATTATAAAAATATTAAATATAACTTTAATTAAAATAATAATGTTGTAGTATGTGTAGTATAAAAAATATATCATAAAATATAAATCATATATAAAGTTAAATAACAAATTTAAATGATTCTAAAAAAAGTTTAGCATAAAGTATTACAATAAAAAAAATTTCATTTAAAAACACTAAAAAAATAAAATGTTTCAACGGTTGGACCGCTGGTTCCAACTGGTGCAACCATTGGACCTCCTGTTCTAGCCAGTTTATTCAAGTTCAATGTGGGAGACGGTTTTTAGGACACCCAGAACTGGACCTCCGACTGATTCACGGTTGAACCGGTAGAACCAACCGGTTCTATTCGGTTTTCTAACTATGTTAAATCCTATAAATCTTCCTTCAAATTTTATTTACTATAACAGTGATTTCAGTAAAAAAAAAAGGAGAAATGGTATTTAAGATCCTGCATGGTTTAAAGTTTTCATTTTTATTGTTTAGGCAATATCTATGATTTAAGGCAAAATGGAGGAGAAATAGGATTTAAGATCTTTTAGGACATTATTTTGTCATTTTTGTTGCTTGGTAGGATTAATGTTGAATTATTTATTAATTTTTTTATATGAAAATCTGGAAACTTATTTGAATTTTCAACTTGTTTATTAGCTCGTTTAAATACTTTTCATTTATCGTAAACAAATTAAGTACAAATTAATTTTAAACATTAAAAAATATAAATAAATCGAACTTGAAAAGCTCAACATCAACAAGTAATTATATTAAGCCCAATCTAAATGATAATATACTCGGCTCAGTCCGCGGCCCAACCAGGGTCAAGCCCACGGAGCTTTTAGAATTCCCGTAAATTGTTTACACAGAGATTTTATCATTTGTGAGGCCCATTTGTGCCAAATGTTGTCTATGTGGCCTGCTGGACTTCCTTTTTAAAATTTTTTAAAAGAAAATATTTAGGGGAAATTTAGAGCGTAGGCTTCCGCTAAATATAATTATTCGAAATAGGGACAAATAAAAATTTAAATGGCTCTGTGGCAATCATCAAAGCTGTCGTTACTATACCGCCCAATTCTTATGTATTTATATATCTAACACTTTCTACATTTAAGAGATCTGGTTTAGGTGAGCCATGTTTGTATCAAATCAGATTTAGGCCGGGTTCTCAATCCAATTCATGTTGCTCTGTCAATTTTGGGTAAAACCTGAACCCACCTGCTGACCTGATTTGATAGCCTTGTCTGACGATAGTGTCAGGCAAGCAATAGTGGTCCGAAAAATGGTGGAGGCGATTTAGCGAAGATGGTCCGGCAGAGGTGGCAACAATGGGTGTTGCAATTCTGTGGCCACAACGACCTGATGATGGTGGAGCTTGAGATATCTGAAGTGCTTGAAGCTTCCCTCAATCTTCTCATTTTAGCCCAGGTCTCTCTTTATGAAGAGAGTGATGGTATATTTATTGATTTTTTGGGTGGCATCATCCGTAAATACTTCATGAATCTGAATCACTCCATCAGATGATTTGAATTGATTTACTTATTGAATGATATTTATGTGTATTTAAGTGTCTTAATGGGATAATTATTATGTCATACAACGCTCATTGGATATAGAATATAATTTTATAAGATTTAGAGATCACCCGATTCCCTTAAATATATTCAAAAGCTAATCATCATGTTTTACGTGCATGATTTGAACTTTGTCAGACTTAGATAAGATTAATTTTATACTATTGGTCCGTCTTATCAAAAGGCTTCATTAAAATTACAGTATACCTAATTCTCAATTTAATGCGTTAAGATTAGTAAATGATTGAGATTTTTTTTTTGGAAAGCATCTATTATCATAAATTTAATGAGATTTTTTTTTTTTTTTTTTGGAAAGCATCTATTATCATAAATTTTAAGTTGGGGTTAACTTTATCAAAAGGCTTCATTAAAATTACAGTATACCTAATTCTCAATTTAATGCGTTAAGATTAGTAAATGATTGAGATTTTTTTTTTGGAAAGCATCTATTATCATAAATTTATTTACAAAAATGTGTTTTTTATTGTAAACTAAATAATATTAATAATAGTTTTTAATGTGATATTAAAATTTTAAATGTTATGTATATAAAGAAAACAATTTAGATGTTAGATCTACAAATATATAAGAATCAAATGTTCTGAGCGCCGCGATTATTTTTGACGGCCTGCTGGACTGTGAAGGCCCAATCCACTTATTTTTAAGGCCTGTTTTACGCAGTTTCGGTTGATTGGAAGTGACTGAGTGCCAATCCTCTGTAATTTTCTTC